CCGTAAAGGTCTTACGCGCATGCGTCAACGCGACGCATGCGCAGAAAGTTTATAGCTTTGAGGTCCGAATTAACGACTTTTGACTGTATTGATTTCCATGCTGACGTATAAGCGAAATGTCATAAAAGAAACAGAATTATTACTGTCCATTAACTTTTAACAGAAGAATAGTTTCAGAAGCTCGGATAACTTTACAGCATATCTTCCAACAACTGAAGTCAGATTAGAAAGAGATGGTAGTAGTTTTTGGAAATATTCAATTTGGGTTCTGATTAGTTCATGTGTTTCTAGCAACAGTATCTTTGATATTATTGGTTTTAATACTACATTGTACAGCATTACTGAACAGAAGGCCCAAACTTAACATTTTGTTCTTATAACATATATACGCATTTTTCTTACTCTATCGTTTTTTTGTATTGGCATCTGATAGTTAATTTTAATAATTAGTATAGAAAAGATAAACGTTAGTTTAAAGAGAATCTTCAGGAAGTTATAAATTTGGCAAGATACTGAATTTTTTAGGGAATATTCATAAATCATTTAAAGATCTGCGAGAAAATATAAATCATTTGAAGATCATTTTTATCTGTGAGAAAATAAAAATAATTTGAAGATCATTTTTTGATAATTACATTACTTAAAATTTATTCGTCTTTAAATGTCTACTTCTCTTTTTACCCATGAGGCCTTCTTTCACTTCTTCGACGAATTCCTCAAAGAAATAGCCAACAAAAAGAATCGATTGACTTTTAAGACGACATATGCTTCTTGTTGGCTCTTTCCCCCTTCTTTTTGTTTGCATGCATGTGTTGGTTTTATGCCTTTAAGTGTTTTATCCTGAATTTTTATGAAATTTGATTTCGTTGTTATCACTTTAATTAAGGTGCAATTTTTTTTTAATACCAGAGTTGATAAACTTTCTTTGAATTTGAAATATTTCCTTGCTATTTAGAGTAGATCTTTGCCGAGCATGGATTTTCGGATTGCGTTTTCACCTGTGTGCCTTACTATTTTCATTTAATTTCCCCAACGCTAGAACTTCATTTATGCGCAGTTCAACGTTCATACATGAACATTAAATGCCCGCTGGCATAATTTCTGGAAAGAAATTAAAAATTTTAAGAGATTTCCATCATTTGAAAATGAAGCCAAAGAAATCGTACAAATTGCTCAAGTAATTGGCATCGAAGGATTTTCAGATGTGGAAGAAAAAGAAATCAAAATAATCGAGTTAAAATTAATCGAGGTAGGCCGAATAAAGAAACTAGATTACCTTATAATACAAGCCGAGAGTAAAAGGAGTAATAATGAAGAAAAAAACAATGCCCCTTTTACTCTTTCAAGGGCGATGGTTATCTACAGTAACCACCTTTTCTATTGAACGTCTTACTCACTCGCGTGAGTGGTTTTCAAGATTGGCCATTTCTGAAAAGTTCCCTTGTAGCTCACTAGATGGCAATCAAGAAACATAAGCCAGTAGTTGATGCAGCAGTTCGTCTTCAAGAAAATAAGCATCAGCCATCGAAAACAACATGACGACGATGTGCACTCAGAACAGTGTGAGAATGCAGCATATGCAAAGTTGCACTCTGCTTGAGGGGAAAAAAAAAAAAAAACTGTTCTCATGAGTACTGTAGAGACTGATTTGTAGGGATGTGTTCTGTGGGCGGTGGTCTCTGGTGGTTAATGTCAGTTTCACGCCTCTTGAACACAATATGTGTAATTGTTGTAAATGATTTCATTGTAACAACTAATATAGTAAATAAAACAAGAGTTTTTCTGAAAAGGTTAATTGCCTTTTGCTGCCCCTCAAAGAGTTAACTTTCAAGAAGTAAAGGATTTCAAGAAGTTTCAACTTTCAAGAAGTTGTAGGATTCTGCACTGTGTAATTCTAAGTTACCGTTGAAAGTGAAGAATCTTAAGAACTGATAAGCGAATAATCGCTTGAGTTCATGTGACAGGAAACAAGATATAAAGGGTAAAGAACCCTTATTATTCCATCAAGTGTAAACAGACCCGTCTTTGAGTTATAAATAAACCGACACTTGGCTTGATTAAAACACAATAAGAATTAAACTAATCTTAACCAAAGAGATATAGCCGAAGCTATCAAATTTCTAACAGAGAGTTTGCCCTTTAAACGCTAATGACTGGAAGCTATCAAGAGCGTAAGTATGCCGACGATAATAGCTTACGAGAGAGTAGCCTAAAAGGCGGACGCGTGCAGCAAATATCTGGTATCTGTTTCCTAAGACAGTATAACTTCGCGGTTAAATACCGCTCTTCCTCATAGATTCAGACGTTGATTCTAAAACTACGTTCTGGTCGAAAGTGGTAAGTTGAAATTAAGAAGCGATAGGAAAGGGAGTTTAAATCAAAATTTAACTGTTAATAAAATTAACATAATTATTACAAAGTTTTAAACAAAGCACAGGAATCGTCTGATTTTGCAATGAAGATTGAGTCAAATGGAGAAAGAAGAGAATATTTTAAGACAGTCATTGAAAAACTCTGCGCTTCTTTCCTGGAAACTTTTTTTAAAGTGTTGCATGAGATGACTCATGCAAGCAAGCAAATCACCAGTTTTTAAACAAATAACTAATCACATATTTATTAAGCAACAAAAATCCTTTCAATTAATATTCGTTTTCTTTTTCCTTTTAATTATAATAATATTAAGGTTTTTTTAAATTATGCATATTGTACTTTCTTTACTAAACTCACTTTTTCCATTGAAAGTTATTCTTATTTTCCACCGAATGCAATATCTGCCGAACGCGATTTTGACATATGCGCAATGTATTAATGACATAATCCTCGTGTTCGGCAAGTGTTTACTGTATTTGCATACAATTAATTTGGCTCTTCTCTTACATGCTTGCTTATTCAGGACTAGAGTTCCTGTTGACCTATCGATTAGGTTGACAGGAATTATTACTGCGATAAGCTCCTGGCATTTCAAGTATTTTGGCGGGTGCTCAAACTGATTGGAGCAGGCCCACATCTGAGGCTTAAATTTTGGAATTTGGCGTTTCGAGATATCTGTGTCAGAGATATATTTATGATTATTTTATAACTGATTTATTTTTATAAACTGTTTGCTTGGAAGCTCCATGAATAGCATTTAGACTCCTAAATCGTCGGAATACGGTCATATAAGGACTATCTTAATCAGAGTTTTTTCCAGTTTAAAGTTTCCTTCAATATTTATTATTCTTATTAAAGTAAAAATTAGTAAATTTTATCCTGAATTTATTAAGCGTCTTAGATTTATCCTTACCTTAAATTGAGAAATTACTGCTTTGCAAAATATTTCCATATTTTTCAACACCAGTCAGTTTTTTCCTTAGATAGAGCCTCTATTTTGGCATGTTTTATTTTAAACTACCCGAGATTGAAAATGCAACACCAAGGACTAGCCCGAAAATTATGTCAATTTAAAGGTAGAGGCACGTTACCGAATTATGGGAATGATGTGAAATGCGCAGCTTTCCACCGCACGTTGAAGAAGATATAAGCGAAGGAACCTGCAGCATGTTCAATTTTCGTGCCGTTATTTCTGCTAGGGAAGTCATCGTAGAAAATCATGACTCTGTACCTAATACAAGGTGGTTCTACAACTTATTGAGTTGACGCTGTTTTCGCTCTGTATTTTGCATATCATTTCGAAATAAAGATGACTTATTGTTCGTTGCTGTCTCTCTCTCTGTTTGCCGAGTTTCATCACTTTATGGCCGCTGCTTGTTGGTGTTTCATTTTCAGTGACGGGTAGTGTAACTAAAACATATCGTTACATGATTTCTTATTATATGATTGAATGATTACTTATTATATGTTTTGCTATGCTTGTTTTCTAATTGAATGGATGGGCTTTCTGTGTGAAGTTTTTGTGAGTTTCCGCACTTAGAAGGTTAACTCAGAAAGTTCCACACTCAGAAAGCATCCTTCCGGGGCCGGATGAAGATTTTTAGACACCCTAAGCACATTTTGGTGGTGGTGTATTTAATTATGGCAAAGCACACTAGGGCTATCTGCCTAAGGGGAGGGATGCCTTCGTGGAGAACTTTCTAAGGGAAACTGGCTCGTATACACGTACCTGGGGAACCAAAAAACCACCCATGCAGCCAGCCCGTTCGCGGGATTCGAACCTCAGACCGAACTACCAGTGTTCAGCGACTTTACCGCTCGGCCGCTGGTGAACCTAAGCACATTTTGGAGCCCTAAGTTTACGCTAGCCTTTTTTTCATTCATTCTCTTTCTCTTTCGGTTTTGGTTTAGCTGCACCATTCGTTCCATGGCAAAACCGGCAAAGGGAAATTTTTGGTTCCCCCCTTTCATTAATGCCCTAAGCACGTGCTTATATTGCTTAATGGTTAATTTAGTCCTGCATCCTTCTCAAAGCATGTATCTATGGTGATTTGTGTATTTTCTTTTAAGACCAAGATAAAAGTGAACAGTGTTCCATAAGTTTGCAGTATTTGCATACAACGTAATCATGTTCAGTTTTAGTATATACCCTGAACGTTGCTCTTTCTCGGATTTGTTATAACTCTTATGAAAATTCTAGATATGCATTTTGTGACTGTGGGTGTTGATATGGTAGTTTTTCACACATTTTATCAATATTTTAATTTGCAGTTTTAGAAAGCAGTCTACATCTTATCCTCTTGATTTCATACCAATTGATTTCTAGCTTTTCCTAAAAATTATTGTTTCTACACGTGGAAGAAGTTACAAAGATTCAAATGACATTATTAAAACATTTGAATAACTGAGGAAAGATAATATTCAATAGATCTGTTGTTTGAAGAATACATTGAGGCAGATAATCAATATCTTGAAAGCAATAAATAACTAAATAAAGTTCCCAAAACGGGGTCTATTAAAATCTATAAAATTAAACTATCAAAAATCTCTAAAACAATATGTTCCAACAGATATTTTCAATAAAACAATACGTTCAACGTATTGTTTTGTCAACAGATATTTTCAACAAGTTTAAATCTCTGTCTGTTTATTTTGAGATATTTTTTTAATATTAAACAGCGAAAATACTCTGTCAGGAATCTGAAACTGTATCATAGCATTTAAACACAATTTGTAAAAGAATGTATTCGTATTTTTTAAAGGATACAATAACACTTTTTCAACTTAATGTATGATCACTTCAGCACGGCAGCAGTATGTAACTTAAATGCTAGATTCTGTCCCGATTGGCCTTACATATGGTCCTATTTGGCGTAAAGCTGTGCCTGGGTACATAAGTGCTGCAGCACTGTAAGTTAAGTAAGTCCTACTAGCAATACGAAGTTTCTCCAGTTCTGCTTCTTTGAGTCGTTTCTCTTTGGCTCGACGGTTCTGGAACCAAATCTTGACTTGAGTGTCCGTGAGCTTCAATGTAGCACTGAATTCTGCTCTTTCCGAGATCGATAAATACTGCTTCGTCCGGAATTTACGTTCCAGAGTTAGTAACTGTTGAGAAGTGAAAGGTGTGCGTGGTTTGCGATTACTTTTGTGGCGTCGAAGTTGGCACTTTACTGGAGGAAGACAGGTTGGTTCCATTGATTCTGCAATTATTTGAACATCAATTAGTATCAAATTAAAGTAATGAAAGCAGTATTAAATATAGAAAAAGTTTTCGTTGTATCTGATTGTTAACAATCAAATAAAACGAGAACTTTTAAAACGAAATTTTATTGCATTGTGCAAAATATTCTACCGATTTTAAAAGTAAGCAAAGCAAATTTTAATCTACATTTTAAATAATTTTAATCTTATAAGACTTATCATGCAAGTTGAAAAGATTTTGAATGATTTCCTAGAGTTAAATTATATTAAAAAAACAGAGTCTTGCAAGAATAGTTATTAAAAGAATGAAAACTTTTTTTTATATAAATTATTCTATTTAAAATTTCTTCTTCGTCTCCTAATCATTCTCTTAAATTTCATCCTGCCAAAATCTTTCAAAGAAATTTTTCCGTTAGAGAATTATTATTTTTTTATTTCGCATATTTTCTTGGTATATACTCGTATTTCCGACCTCTAGAGCAGTAATTTTAAATTATTGTGCTTCTCTATAATTTAGCAATTTTCTTTTCTTTTAATGCCTAGGAAACGTCTTTTTAACTATACTTGCAAGAAATTGGTTATTTATCGAGCACAATTAAAACATTAGAACCCGAGGGATTGCTTAGGTTTCAAGAGTTTTGGAACCAGCTCTTACAGCCTAAAGTAAATTATAGATTACGATTTTACAATAAATATTCACTATAACATTTGTATAAATTTCTAAATAATAGAATTATAGTGCAGTAATATTTGGATAATTTTTATGATAAAAGTATATGAATTAATATTTAAAACATAGAGTTTTTGTTTGGTTTTTGATTTTACGTTTCAAAGGTAATATTATTTACATAATGATTAATTTTTTAAACTGTTTAAGCTACAGTATTTTTTATATTAATTATTTTATAATATTCTAAATTCAAACAATAAAGATACTGAATCAGTACTTAAAATATTCATAATTTTGAAAGCTACATCTGTTACACACACACACACACAAAAAAAAAAAAAAAAAAAGGATTTGAATCGAAATTATAATTTAAATAAAAGGCAAGCATATACAGGTACACTAAAGATAAGAATATGTTGACCAATCAGTACAGATACATTTATAATTGCATTAATTTTTGTATATGTAATTAAATTAAATTACACTGGTTATCATATATTAAAGAAAAACACTTATGAAAAGTTACATGTAGATTTTTAATGAAACTTACCAACAATATACAACATATAGTAAGGCATCAAATAACATAAAAATAAATACCAGACGATTATGGTAGTATAGAAATTAGCTCATGTATAAAATGAACGTGTCAAATCAATATGGAATATGGTGGCCTCTAAAAGCAATACAGCACATTACAGCGATGTGTGATATTTTTTTTTCCAATTATGCGGTCTATCAGTTCCATAGGAAGCGAGAGCCAATTTGCTCTTGCAAAGCAGTTGCAAGCGCGGACAAGGGTTATGAGGGGGCGGATTGAGAGCAGCTAGACGTCTCCCTAAAGCATCCCATGAACGTGGCTCGGTAGGATTCAAGTCCGGGGATCGAGCTGGCCACTCCATGCGCATAAATGTTTACTGTTGAAGATAATCATCTACGATGCGTGCCCTGTGTGGTCTTGCGTTGTCGTCCTGTAACAAGAAAGCATCACCTACTGCCCCAGCATATGGGCGCACATAAACATCAAGGATGTCATCTCTATAGATCTGAGCACTCACGGTTTCCTATGAAAAGACATGGAGGTCTGTGCATCCATCCAAAGAGATGCCACCCCAAACACAGACACTGCCCCTTCCATATGCATCTCTTTCACGGATATTTGGCGGATGATAACTGGTTCTAGGTTCTCTTCATATCAAATAACGCGTACTATCGCTTTCGAGACTAAACCTAGACTCATCCGTAAAGAAAACCGCCCTCCATTGATCAGGCGTCCAGTGGACATGTTGTCGTGCCCACTGAAAACGGTCCCTCCTATGGCGTGACGTGAGCGCCACACAAATGGCTGGTCGCCTCGCATAAAAGACCACCTTCGTGAAGCCTTCTACGCACAGTTGACGTTGACACGAACCTTCCGTGGTGCAGCAAGGGAGATCTAAGAGAGTCGGAGTAGCGGTTCTATTCCTGCGTGCACATAGTGGCAATATCGGTCATCGGCGCTAGTCGTAGCAGTTGGCCGTCCTTGGCTGAACCTCTAGATGCCGAACTGTGGTTTGAAATTGCCTGCAAAGTCTATGACCCAGAAGACTCACATTTAGCCATCTGGCCACTTCTGTTGACTTTGTCCTGCCTCTAGTCCCATGGCTCTCCATCGCAGTTCTGCCAGGCAATGATGCCTGGGGTCATTGTTCGAATTGGCTATCTCAGATTTCTGATGTTACTGTCCAGTAAATATGTGGGCTTGCTCTCAAAATGGACTCTTTGCCTCGCAATGACTTATTACAAAAGCAGCCCAATTTGCATATTGCTGTTTTACTCAGCTACTTTATTGGCACATATTCAAATTTACACGTTTGGCTTATTTTGAGGAAGTATCGCTATTTTGTGATTTTTCCTTAATTTATGATAACCAGTGTATTTATATTACAAAATGACATATTGCGTCGATCAAAATGAGCTAGCTTTCAACCTCGTTCTTTCGAAAGTATACTTTTCTTTCTGAGAGAATCTGAGCTAGCGTGTCAACTCAATCCCTCTTCTGTATATATAAGAATTTATTATTATTACTATAACTAATGTTATCATTGTCGTCCATAAGGTGTTTAAGCAAGATGATTTCTTTAAAGATATTTTTTTTTTCTTTTTCTAGAGATGTATTTCTAATTGTAATTATCTTAGAACATGGTGAAATATTTTTATCGGGGAAGAAAAACTTTTTTGACACTAATAAGTGGAAATATTCTGCAAAAAATAAAATCTGACATTTTATTTAGTCCTTTAGGGCAGAAAGTGCCATTAGTAAAATGTTCCTTATATTTTATTGAGTTAAAAGAAATCGTTAAAAGAAATATGTTGCAAAATTCGCAGAGATATACAAGGTAGTCATAAAAACTGTTCTGAATACGTAGTGGCCTATCCACTCAACTAATCGAAATGAAATTTCAGATGAGCTATAAAGATTGTGACGATTTAAAACAATAGAGCTCTCACGGTTACGATTACAGCGAAAACATTTCGTGAATTTTTGAATAGCTACACCTAGTTTTTTTTTTTTCACAAACTGATCAGCGCATTGAAGAAACGTAAATGACGTTTGAACGATACACTTGTGCTAAAAATCGTCGGCGTTAGACATTTGCAAAGAAAAGCATTGTAAAGGACCAAGAGACCACAGAGAGGCTAAGCATTGATGCACTTTGCTTTATTCACAGGGATAGACAGTAGAAGCATCAATTACAGAATTCCATAGGTGCAAAGCCATGCCTATGGAAAATCTTTAACAAACAGTGTGGGAAGATTGTTTCTTTAATGTGTTTACTATTGAAACGTTTTGTATCTTGTAATGCATATTATTATTTTACCTTTAATTGCTTGCACCATTGCTCAAGACAAAGAAAAGCTATATTAGATGAAGAAATATTGTTTTAGGCTTGTGATGCTCTGCGGCCATTATCATTTTCTTCATAGCTGCTCTCCTGAGATCCACGAGCCAGGAAAACCGCACTGTCATGTGCCCTATGGGCCTTATTTCAAGGAGCCGAAACACCTCGTACAAGCTGTACGATAGCACGATTTAAAGAGGTACGTGGAACTTGTTTCTTCAATCAAGTGTTCGAATGTGCTAACAAAGTGACACTTACAGGAAAACAATCAGTTGAATTGATAAAGATGTTTTATTTGAACGGGGAAAATGTTACCGAAGCTTTGCGAATTTATCGGCGAAGTTGTATGCGAAGACAAGGCCCAAGTTCCATAAAAATTGTACGTGATTTGGTTAATAAGTTTGAAGAAACTGGATGCACATTTGGTAGACCCCAATCCGGACGACCATGTGTAACTGTTGAAGTTCTTGCGGAAATGCATAATATGGTTACTGCAGGTCGATTGCATGCCGTAAGAAATGTTGCCGCGCAGTTTGAATGTACAGCAAACAGTCCTCAAACTTCTGCACTCTGTTCTGCATACGTTTCCATATCGATTTCAGTGCGTCCAGATGATGTTCCAATTTGGAGATGAGTAACAGCGGGTCGACGTTACGAATCTTTTGCTCATCAGATATGATGAGGATAGCAGATAGCCTCTACGGATATTATGGATGGATGAGACGTATTTATTCTTAATTGGCAATGTAAACTCCAAAAACTGGCTGATGAAAATCCTCACGATGTGCCACTAACGCCTTTACACTAAGCTAAACTGACTGTGTAGTACGGCATCGCAATCACATTCGTTCTCTCTTCGTACTTCTTCGAAGAACTCACTTCCGCAGCAATGAAAACTTGCTTAATCACAAATGCTCTGTATACAACAGTGTTGTAGAATTACGTAATTCCAGTATTGCAGCAGCGAAATGTCGTTAATAGCATTGCATGGAAGCAAGTTGGTGCTCCTCTTCACCTCGCCACATGTGTTCAAATGTTGTAGCAGCACTTTGGGGGATAGAGTCATTTCCCATAAACTTACTGTTTCGTAGCCACCGCGATCTCTTGACCTCACTCCGATGGATTTCTAATCCTGGGGTTGTCCGAAATTTAAGATATACACATCAAACCCACGAGATTTGTTAGAATTGAAAGATGCTATGGAAGGGAAGTTATGCAGATTCATCCTGCGATGTTACATTTGTTATTGTTGTCAACATTATCGTCTGCGAAAGTGGGCGCGTTGAAAACTTATAATTCGAATAAAGTTTTTTTTTCTTTTTCCTCTCTCCTGTCTTATATTGTCATAGTCCTTTACAATGCATTCCTTTGTAAATGTTTTATGCCGGCAATTTTCTTCATACGTGTATACAACGCTATAAATGGCGTTCCAATACCATATACAGTT